TTTCAGAAAACACAACAGCATTTCAGAAAACACAACAGCATTTCAGAAAACACAACAGCATTTCACATTGGACGGAAAGGGTATTCCTTTAGGGAGAACACTTCTTGTTTGTGATTGGACAGAGCCAGCCAGAGAAGCACTGCTGTGATTGGTTGTTTTTGCTGCCAGTGAAGAAATGACGCTTCGTGATCGGTCAGCACCCGACAGCGCAACATGTCCCAAGACATCAGCCGTTAGCTGTTAGCACACACTCAGAGCTCACAGCTCCTCATATCTGTTCAGAAACTGGACAAAAGTTAAACAAGTACAAACCACAGAGTGTCTATGTCATGGCGAATACAGTCGCTGCTTTATTTATGTCTGTGTGACGCTGTTGTGAGTGTGGACGGAGCAGCTACAGGTTAGTTTAGCCTGATGGATCCGATTCCATTCAGAAAACACGCATTTTAAAAGCTTTTCGCCTGCCGTCTTGTCTGCAGACTTGTCAAAGCATTAATTCATGGTTTTTACTAACCGGTATCAGTATGTAGTTACTTCGGCATCACTTTGAAACGTGTATTACAATTAAATCACGGTCAATATGTTCATTTTGTTGTCGAGTTTCACCGCAGCTGTCAGTGTTTACTCCTGTCATTCAAACAAGACGTGCTGGAGAGGGGGCGGATCGATCAGGCTAAACTAACCTGTAGCTGCTCCGTCCACACTCACAACAGCGTCATACAGACATAAATAAAGCAGCGACTGTATTCGCCATGACATAGACAGTCTGTGGTTTGTACTTGTTTAACTTTTGTCCAGTTTCTGAACAGATATGAGGAGCTGTAAGCTCTGAGTGTGTGCAAATAGCTAACGGCTGATGTGTTGGGACATGTTGCGCTCGGGTGCTGACCAATCACGAAGTGTCATTTCTTGACTGGCAGCAAAAACAACCAATCACAGCAGTGCTTCTCTGGCTGGCTCTGTCCAATCACAAACAAGAAGTGTTCTCCCTAAAGGAATACCCTTTCCGTCCAATGTGAAATGCTGTGGTGTTTTGTGAAATGCTGTTGTGTTTTCTGAAATGCTGCGGCGTTTTGTGAAATGCTGTTGTGTTTTCTGAAATGCTGTTGCGTTTTGTGAAATGCTGTTGTGTTTTCTGAAATGCTGTTGTGTTTTCTGAAATGCTGTTGCGTTTTCTGAAATGCTGTAGCGTTTTCTGAAATGCTGCGGTGTTTTCTGAAATGCTGTTGTGTTTTCTGAAATGCTGTGGTGTCTTGCACTTCCGGGCCACCGTAGTGTGATGATCTTTGTTGAAAAAGGTCTGATTGTCCTGTACATGTACAATGTGGGGTATTTTTAAATACTTTACTAAACCACATTGAATATTATGTTAGACACAAGTTATTACTCACATATCAAAGTCTTTTCATCTGCAAGATGGAAGAATAGATGGGTGCTGCCTGGAGAAACTGATGAGGAACACAGGCTGGCGTCAGCAGCTTTCCACACAGCCATCACATCTTCTCTTCCATAGTCTTTACTGTCCACTGGTGCTCTGTCAAAAGAGTGAACATCACAGCTGTCATGTTAACCCTTTGTTACACAACATACAACCAACATGCGTCAAAAGTGACCCGAATTAGTTTTAATTGTAAATATCTTTGCAATAAATTACTTTAATCATTCAGGATTCCAGGTATTCCTCAATTAACCTGTTTTGGATCAACACCAAATTTTAATTTTTCCTTTCTTACTTTTTGAATACAAATCATGTTTGTATCACTACACTTCACAACATGGGTAAAAAATGATCCGTATTATTTTGCTATGTTATTTCATGCATGGCTGAGTGTTTCTTTACTATACATTTTCAAATCTATTCCTTTAGTCATTAATATTCAAAGTATTAATTAAATGCCTTGTTTTTGATTACCACAAATCATTATTTTCATTCTCCCGTTCTTAAATGATGAACTAAAATAGTTTAGGCCAAGTGTGATAAAAATGCAAAAAAAAATACATACTATAATTTTAGCAGTGATTTGGACCAAGCATGTATGATGTAGTAATACAAAAACTATTTTAGTTCACAGTGTGTAGTAGTTCACTACTGCTGTGAAATCCTTGCAATGTTTACAATGTTGTTGTGATATTACAGAGGATTTCGATTGCAGTATTTTATTGTGAAATAATAGTTAAATGCTGTGAAATCCAAGGATACAGTCCTTTTTACATGTAAAAAAAATACATACTATAATTTTAGCAGTGATTTGGACCAAGCATGTATGATGTAGTAATACAAAAACTATTTTAGTTTACAGTGTGACATTAGCTAGTCATGTTAGCTTGTAATATATATACAATATTTCTCTGTAATATGATACTCTTAAATGCTGTGAAATCCTTGCAATGTTTACAATATTGTTGTGATATTACAGGGGCTTTTTATTACAATATTTCTCTGTAATATGATACTCTTAAATGCTGTGAAATCCTTGCAATGTTTACAATGTTGTTGTGATATTACAGAGGATTTTGATTGCAGTATTTTATTGTGAAATAATAGTTAAATGCTGTGAAATCCAAGGATACAGTCCTTTTTACATGTATTTGTTACATGTAAAAAAATACATACTATAATTTTAGCAGTGATTTGGACCAAGCATGTATGATGTAGTAATACAAAAACTATTTTAGTTCACAGTGTGACATTAGCTAGTCATGTTAGCTTGTAATATATAGAGCAGAGCTAACTAGCAAGTTAGCTAAACGTTAGCGGTTAGCCGTTTATGCTATGCTAGCTGTAACTAGAACATAACTAGAACTATAACTGAACATTAACTAACTGGATTCCGCTGTAAGAAAGCTGTGAAACTTTACAATAAACTTGGCGACAACACTGTGACACCCCGCTGCATGTTTATGTGTAATTATCCCGTGTTGGAGACGAGAGGGTGGCGCAGCAGCATTGCAATAAGCTGTAAACTAATGTTAGCTGCCACCTGTTAAGCCCGGGCGCAACATCTTGCAAGAAACAGCATCTCAGGGCTTCTTAACATTTAACAACCTATTAATCATAACGGGAAGAAACTCAGCTAACCAGAAGAAGAAACATAACCTTAAATAAAAAATAAAACATTCACAAACTAAGGATATTCTAAATACATGTTTAACTCCATTACAGTCGCAGGACTCACCAGATCTCAAGTCTTCTGTTCTTTGTTGACGACGTCCCGATGCTCATATTTAACGTGTAGATGTAAAACGATCCCGATATTAATCCATAAACTCCTGCAGCAGAAATACAGGAGACCCGCTCAAACTGACGTGGATGTTTCAAATGTGAACGACAGGCGCAGACAGTTCTCATTGGCAGGTTTCTTCGATGACGTTTATATTAACCAATCAGGAGTGTTGTGGACTCATTCCAAACATACCTGACTTGTCTGCCGTGTTATGGCTGAATTCCATTTCAAGTGCCGTAGTTCTGGCTGTCGGCCAGAATCCGAAAACCATACATTATACTGCATGTAAGACTATAACTAACCCTTATTACTGTATATTGACCAATGGGAAAAAAAACACAGCAACATAACACATAAATAAAATAAGGATAACTGTGACTTATTGTTGAGTAAATAACAGTGTGTGTTTTAAACCTTGGTCCTCCCTGCAGAAATTGATTCAATCGAATATTGAGAAAATTATTTATGTAAAAATGTTTGACACTTTTTTTTTACAGTTTCATGTGTAGGTACCTTAAAATTACAAAGAAATATCTTAAAGTCTTATAATAGTAATACACTTTTATATTACGAGGAGTTACATATTTAATTGCAGATAATAATTTAAATTTTACATACATCTGCATGTATTTTCTGAAAGTGCAAAAATACTGTAAATATGATATAGTAAATTTACTTTAAAAAAAAATGAAATAAATGTTATTTGTTGTTGTCAAAATACTTAAAATAATGTTTTGGGTTGTTAATTTATAGTTCATATCTATAATTTTACGGGATTTTGCAAGTTATTTAAAAAAACATAATTACTATAAAAAAATAATAATTTCCTGTAAAATTAGGATATTTTTTTACAGTGTATAGAATGTCTCAGTTCAAATCTTCCAGACGGTTTGAGAAGTAGGCTATGCTGCAGGACACACGCCGGTTAGAATAGTCTATTCTGCACATGTGCAATGCTGCACAATTCAAATTTTACAGTAATGGGTTGTGCTATTACAGATGATTTTGAGTACAGTGCTTTACTGTGAAATAATAGTTAAATAATGTCAAATCCAATTTTACTGTAGTTTTATAGATATTTTGTTGTGATATTACAGGGGCTTTTTATTACAATATTTCTCTGTAATATGATACTCTTAAATGCTGTGAAATCCTTGCAATGTTTACAATGTTGTTGTGATATTACAGGGGCTTTTTATTACAATATTTCTCTGTAATATGATTATTAAATGCTGTGAAATCCTTGCAATGTTTACAATGTTGTTGTGATATTACAGAGGATTTTGATTGCAGTATCTTATTGTGAAATAATAGTTAAATGCTGTGAAATCCAAGGATACAGTCCTTTTTACATGTATTTGTTGGGATATTACAGGGGGCCTTGATTACAATATGTCACTGTAAAATAATACTGTTAAATGTAGTGAAATGCTGGTAAATTTTTACAGTGTAGGTTTATTGACACCCTTAATCTGACACCCAACATCAGCCTCAAAACAAACCACTGAATGAACACATTGTCCAGCCTGTGTGAAGCTGACATGAAACAACATACGGCATACATTACATTCTGAGAAAATCGTCTCATTCTGTGCTTGTGTTTAACCAAATGTGTTAGATCTGTTTCTAGTTAGGTTTTTAACATAATGTTAAAGAAATAATCATGAATGAGAATTGATGCATGTTATACTATGACAGCTGTTTATAATTACAACAATTATGAGGAAATAATGAGCTATCATGTCAGAAAAGTGCAGATGTGTACTTATATCTTACCTCCCGGAGCAAAGCCTGTTAAAATAAAAACATAATAAAGATAGTAATTATACAAATTCAACACAGATATTGATTAACTTTGAAATAGACCCCCCTTCCACCTTTAGTTTTTGTAATACAAAACATGAACTAGTGTTTCTACTAGAATTGATTAATGTTATACAACGACAGCTGTTTATAATTATAAGGTTATAGTGTATTTATCATGTCAGATCAGTGCAGATGCGCACTTATATCTTTCCTCGCTATCTAAAGCCTATTGAAAAGGAAAAGATGATAAAGGTGAAGTTATTATACAAATTCAATAGAGCTATTAATTAATTTTGAAATAGTCAAGCATGCATCCCCATCCACCTTCAGTATTTGTTATTAAAAAACATTAATTAGTGTTTCTAGTTCGTTTTTTAACATGATTGAGACTTGATTCATTTTATTCAATGACAGCTGTTTATAATTATAATAATTATAAGTAAATAAGGTATCTATCATGTCACAGCAGTGCAGATGTGCATTTAAATCTTACCTCTTGGTTGAATTGATGATACTGTTGAAAAGGAAAAGATGATAAAGATAAAGTTATTATACAAATTAAATACAGCTGTTAATTAACTTTGAAAAGCATGCATCTCCCTCCACCTTCAGTTTTTGTTTTACAAAACATTAACTATTGTTTCTACTATTATAAGGTAATAGTATATCTGTCATGTCAGAAAAATGCATATGTTTATATCTTACCTCCGTCATCTGTTTAAAAGGAAAAAATGATTAAGATAAAGTTATTTCACAAATTACAAAACAGTTGTTAATTTATGTAAACTGTATATAATTATATTAATAATAATTCATGTCAGAACAATTTTTTTGGTCGTGATTTCTTTTTTTCTAAAGCTTATTTAGAATGCGAAAATGTATGAAGTTTATTATTAATTGGTCCAAATTACCTGGTAAACCTTGTGGAACTGTTAAAAAGAAAAAGATGATAACATAAATTCACAAAAAGAAATTATTAATGTAATTTGAAATATTCAACAACATTTTATTCAGTAAACAACATATTAGTCTGCAAATAATCAGTATTTACTCTTAAGACTAAATGTATGTTATTCATGAGGGTCCTGTCAAGAAGAAAGATATGATAAAGTGAAGGAAATATTCAGTTGTTATTTTACTTTGAAAAAGGGCACTAATTGTCTTAAAATATTGTCAAGATTAGCATCTGTTTCTTGTTCATTTTTTGCAAGTGATTATTCTTTTTCTAAAGCTTATTTATGCGAATGTGTATGAAGTGCAGTATATTATTAATTAGTCCAAATTACCTGGTAAAGCGTCTGGAACTGTTAAAAAGAAAAAGATGATAACGAGGGGTTACGTATTGTAACCCTAGTTATATAAGCACAGGCGGAGCCCTCTACTGGACTCTATGGGTACTACCTCTCAACCATACCATGCAAGCATTCACCTACTGAGATTTCTATAAACGTAGCCGGCCCCCGGGGCGGGCCTACCTGAATGCGCGCGCAAGCACACCGTATAAAAGGCGGCCTCGCCTCCTGACCGCCATCCTACACCCTCTTCAGCGAGCGGCATAGGACAGACAGTCCCCCGAGTAGAAGGCTCCGCCTGTGCTTATATAACTAGGGTTACAATACATAACCCCTCGTTATATCTCACACAGGCTCCGCCCTCTACTGGACTCTATGGGTACAGTGGGCAGAGCCCTGATTCATAAACGCGCTGTCGTCCAACAACATCGGCCCCTCACACTGCCCCTGACCGGCATTTGGTTAACCTGTTAAGCCCTGAGCCTGTTTTTCAGGTCTCAGGCTCGAAAATGACATTCCCAGAACAAATGACCATATCTTCCCTTCTAAAAGGGTTAAATTAATAATCTTTTTTCTCAAAGTAATGATAAACCTGTTAGTTGGATGTAGAAAAGTCAGAATCAATATAGATTTTTTTTTTATTTTAAAGAAAATTCAGATTTTACATCGTAAAAAACTGTAAATTATAGTGTCCGTCCAAAAATTCTTTTTTACTTATAGTGAAAACTACCCTTGGATGATGGTAAGGTAGACTAAAAGCTTTAGGAATCCAAAGTACAACATATAATAAGTACCCTGTATCAAGATTGATGCAAAACAAGTGACATTTGATCTTTTTAGAGAGATTTAGCAAAAAGAAACCACTTCTGGGGTCATTTGGGTGGATTTTCCATATCTCTGGCCAACCTTGCTCGATTTTGATGGTTGACACCTCTTTCTGACCGTTAGAGCCAATAGAATCGAAGGGGGAGTCCCCCACACACACTCATTGTGAAACAAAAAGGTGGGGGCTTCGCGCATGCAGTTTTGCATCAGAGTGAACCTATCTCTAGCTTTGACATCTAGAAACGGAATAGCAGTTTTATTGCTTATGGATTATCAGAAATCATTTCAAAGGGACACAGACACATTGGATTAACCTATGGATTAACTTCAGCAGCGTTTTTATCGTTTTAATGCCATTGAAGACCACTTTGGAGAGACTACAGAGCCAAGTTAAAAATGTTAGCATTTTTAGCTACCTAGCGTCACCTGTTTTGATGTCCGTTTTTGCTTATAACGTCGCAAATTCGTATAATTCAGTGATAATGTGGGTACCCATCGATTCTGTGTCACCTCACGATGTGAAACGATGTCATGGATGTAGAGAAGAGATAAATAATAAGGTTTTGTGAGTGATTTTCGGTGCAGTAAGGTGTTAGCATTTTTCGCTCGTTGCTAATTCAGAGGCTCAGTGTTAGCATTGTGGGTTTTCTTTTTAAAAAAAAAAAAAAATTATCAGTTAGATGAGTTTCTTCCCATTACATGGATATAAAACATTCATAGTTTATTAAATGAACATGCCTCAGACACTGTTTCCTGCAAGATGTTGCGGCAGTGCCCCGGTACCGGGGTCTCTCGGCCTTAACAGGTTAACAGCCACTGCACAGCCACTCCCTCTCCTCCGGTTGTGAGCGTGGAGAAGACTTGACCTGAACGAACTCCTTAGGCTCTTAGGAATAAAGGAGGGGTTCGGCCTGAGTGTCGGCCTGAGTGTCGGCCTGAGTGTCGCCCTGCAACGGTCACCCCGGATTAACAAGCAACTTGGGTGCACCGACAGCGCGGTCTGCTCGGACACTCTCTTGGCTGAAGTTAAGGCAAGCAGCAACGCTGTCTTCCATGACAGGGCTTTCAGGGAGGAGAGCTCCAGAGGCTCAAATGGTTCTGTGACCAGAGCCTCGAGCACCAACGGCAAGTCCCACTGCGGGGAGGAGGTGTGCACTACTGGGCGCTGCCTGCTGACCCCCTGCAAAAACCGCGACATAAGCGGCTGACTGAAGGCTGACCTGTCGCCAAATCCCTCATGAAAGGATGAAATGGCTGCTGCATACACTTTAACTGTGGAATGAGCAAGCCCCCTGTCCACCAGTAACTGTAAGTAGGACAGAATAGAGCCCAACGTACAAGATGGGGGCTCTAGACTCCGCTCCTATCACCATCGCTGGAATCCCAACCACTTTGGCCTGTGACAGGCTGAGGTGGATCCTGCTCTTGCTGCCTGGATAGTCTGGATAACCTTGTCAGACAATCCCACCCGTCTCAGCCTGTCCTTCTCAGGAGCCAAGCCTGGAGAGGTTGGCCCAGAGTGGGTGTGACAACCCTGTGGTTGTCCACCATGTGGTGCTGTTGTAACCTGGGTTTTCCTTGTAATCAGCAGTGATGAGACCCACCTGTGGCACCTGGTTCCACTATTTAAGAGGGCTGCAGAACAGGCTCTCGCTCTCTCTCGGCTGCCCTGCTCGGCGCACTAGGCCACCGCTCCTCTGTGTGTTTTATTGTTGGTTGTAACCACTGCGTTGGGATAAATAAATGATTGTTTTGGGCAACTCCTGTGTGGAACTGTTGTCCTATTGTTACAAGCAGAGCCAGCTTGTAACATATGGGGGCTCGTCCGATCCAAGAACCAGGTGATATTTGTTTACTTGATTTGTCTGCCTTGATTGTGTAGACAGTTTGTTCCTGGTGTAGGGCATTAACCTGTTAAGCACTGAGCCTGTTTTTCAGGTCTCAGGCTCGAAAATGACATTCCCAGAACAAATGACCATATCTTCCCTTCTAAAAGGGTTACATTAATAATCTTTATTCTCAAAGTAATGATAAACCTGTGAGTTGGATGTAGAAATGTCAGAATCAATATAGATGTTTTTTATTTTAAAGAAAATTCAGATTGAACATAGTAAAAAACTGTAAATTATAGTGTCCGTCCAAAAATTCTTTTTTACTTATAGTGAAAACTACCCTTGGATGATGGGTTAGTAGACTAAAAGCTTTAGGAATCCAAAGTACATTGATGCAAAACAAGTGAAATTTGACCTTTTTAGAGAGATTTAGCCAAAAAAAAACACTTATGGGGTCATTTGGGTGGATTTCACCTATCTCTGGCCCCCCTTGGTCGATTTTGATGAATGAAATCTCTTTATAACCGCTAGAGCCAATGGAATCAAGGGAAAGTTCTATACACACCAACACGTTAACAAATAAGGAGTGAGAGTGACGCGTGACCAAAACCGGAAGCTGCATACACGCTGGTGGCTACCATTAGCAGCTAACTTTTTCGCTCCCATTTTTACATAAAAATGGAATTATGGATTATAAATAATTTTTTCAAAGGCACAGATACATTATTAACCTATGGATCAACAGTTGTAGCCTTTTTTTTCTTTTCGTTTTAATGCCATTGAACACGTCTTTTGATCAGATTGACAGCTACGGTGAGACGATCTCCCGTAAAAGCTCCGTAAAGGTACGTGTTGTGATGTCTGTGTTTGCTTCCCCTGTCGCAAGTTCGGATCGCTCAGTGATGATACTATAACTATATAATCTGTGGAGTCTCAGCTTTAATCGGATATATTGTATGTGCAGCTACGATAAGTAATAAGGGTATCTTTATCTTGAGTTGTGTGCTAAAGTGCGTTAGCATTTTTTCGCTTAGTGCTAATTCAGAGGCTTGGTATTACCCTTGTGTTATGTTTTGGTAAAAATGGTTCATATCTTCAGTTAGCTGAGATTCTTCCCGTTAATCTGGTGCTACACATTAATAGTTTCATAAATGTTAAGAAGCCCTGAGACATTGTCTCGAAAAAAAAAACGGTGGGAGGGGTCCAATGGGGGGACCGTCGTCCTTAAGAGGTTAAGGAGTAGCTTTGGAATTACCTTTCCTGATAGGCATAAGCAACATCTCCTTTAGGGGAGCTTGTTGGTTTATTATTTGTGTTTGTTATTTTTGTGCATAAACATGATTCGACATTTTTGTCATGGGTACACGTCCGTGGCTGTCTTGGTGAGTAACAGCTTCGCTGGGGCTTTACCGGGTCATTGGGTGAGTGTTTAAAACACCTGTCGTGGCATGCATGAAGACTAGGGTGAGACAAGATAGTTAGTATTGGGTAGGCAGTTAGCTAGGGGAGAGTTAAAAAAAAAAATCCTTTTAAGTGTTTGTGCACCAGGTTCAAGGGAGTTTGCATAATCATGGCTACATTGGTAGATTTTGTTAAGTGTCCCAGTGTGGAACTGCTGGAAAAATGTACCAAAGACCAACTGTTAAAAATTGCAGAGCATTTTGAGGTAGACGTTCCAAAGCAGGGTCGTAAAGACACCATATTGACTACGTTACAGGCCCAGTTGGTACTGCAAGAAGTTCTGCCAGCAGTGGCTGTCGATGGTCGTTCCGAGGATGAGTTGGCTGAGAAGGCAGCTATAAATCCAGGGTGGCAGAGAAGTGCAGGTTTTTCTTTGTCTGACTATGGTGAAATGACATTTGAACAGAGAAAGGAAATAATGCTGCTGCAGTACCAACAAGACAGTGAACGTGAGGAACGAGCAAGTGCTCGTGAGGACCGGGCTAGAGCTTGTGAGCAGGAAACTGAGATGGAGCGTTTACGGTTAACTACAGTGGTGCGGGAAGCTGAATTGCAACAAGAACGTTACAAGATGGACCTCATCCAAGAGGGTAAGCTTTCTCCTGGGGTGTCCCCAGCAACTTTTGATGTAGCTTATCAGCTGAGGTTGTTACCGAAATTCGATGAGAAGACTGTAGATTCTTTTTTTTAACTTTTTGAGCGACTTAGCCAAAGACGACAGTGGTCTGATTCGGAGAAAACATTGCTATTACAGTGTGTGTTAACTGGTAGGGCTCAAGAAGCATTTTCTGCATTAAGTATGGCTGACAGTGAAGATTACTTTAGGGTAAAGACTGCAGTGCTAAAAGCTTATGAGTTGGTGCCTGAGGCCTACCGTCAGCAGTTCAGGAAGCTAAGGAAGTCAGAAGGACAGACCTATGTGGAACTTGTTCGGGAGCTGACGATGACATGTAATCGATGGGTCACGGCTTCCGAAGTAGTAAATCTGAATGATTTGAGGGAACTGTTCCTTCTTGAACAATTCAAATATATCCTTCCAGAATGCGTTGCAACGTACCTGAATGAGCATAAGGTTAAAAATGTAACAGACGCTGGGGTATTAGCTGATGAATACACTTTAACACACAGGATTCATTCAGGGGAGAGATTTGACTGGGGGAGCAGAAATAACTGGTCTGGTGACCCCAGAGGTAAAGTGGGTGAAGTGTTAAGGTCGGAGCAAAGGTCCGTGCATGGCTGGAGGGATAAAGTAGATCTAAATACTTGCAACTTTTGTTTGGGTAATGGTCACTAGACAAATGAATGCCCGGAACTTAATGCAAAAACCAAGGGACTCCAAGATGGCCAGGTTCCCAGGCCTGTTGCCCTTGCAGCTCCTGCCCACAAGGTTGCTAGGGAGGAGGTTATAGCTGTGGTTAAACTCCATACTGCCCACAAGGTTGCTAGGGATGAGGCTATAGCTGCGGTTAAACTCTATACTACCCCGCAACCAGTTGCTGCTGCGGTTTCTAACTTGGGAATAGCCCTGCAGGAGGTGAAGCCTCGCCCCTCCCTGGTAGCAGAGGAATTTGATCCAGGTTATGCCCCTTTTATACGTCAAGGTTATGTGTCTTTGCAAGGAAGTGACAAGAAATTCCTTGTTAAGATACTGTACTGAGAGACACAGGTGCTTTGGATTCGTACATAAGTGAGGGTGTTCTTCCATTTTCCTCGGAAACTGACACTGGAAGTTGTGTATTGTCTAGGGGAATGGGGGTGCAGTTGCTGTCTGCTCCAAAGCATCGGTTGGTGTTGTCCTGTGATTTAGGGCAGGGTGAGGTTGCCATGGGAGTCCGGCATTCTTTGCCTGTTCCAGGAGTGGCAGTCATCCTGGGTAATGATTTGGCTGGTGGCAGACTCTGGCCCGATGTGCTTCCTTCACCAGTGGTATCCTCCAAGCCAGTGGTGAGAGAACTTGCTGATCCTGAGAAAAAGCTGACTCTGCGAACCACGGTGCTCCGCGGCGATCTGGGGCCACTAGGATGACTGACAGATGCTCTCGTCTCACTCTCTCCAGGAGGGGGAGAATGAGGCGCAGCGGTGGAAAGGCATAAAGCAGCTTTTTTGGCCATGGCTCGTGTGCAAACTCATCCACCCCCAAGGGCGGACTGTCCCGCCGAGCCATGGAAAACCACAGGGTACATTGGCTGTTGCGCCGGCTGGCGAACAGGTACACCTCCGCTCTCCCGAACTGGGCCCAGATCTGCTTCACCACCTCCAGGTGAAGCACCCACTCGCCTGGCAGGGGCCCACCTCTTGACATGAGGTCAGCCCCCCTGTTATCCAGTCCCAGGACGTGGAGGGCTCTCAGAGACAACACAATCTCTGAAGCCCATAACCACAGTTTCTCCGCTGTGGTCAACAAGGCGGCGGAGCGGACTCCGCCCTGCCTGTTGATGTACGCCACTGTGGTACAGTTGTCGCTCCTCACCAGCACATGTTTGCCCTGTATAAAGGGTTTGAAATGCTGGAGGACCAACACTACTGCCTGCAACTCTAGAAGGTTGCTGTGCCGCGTCTCTGTCAGAGACCAGCGACCACCTATAGCTCTCTCTAGGCAGGTCCCCCCCCATCCTGTCACGGATGCGTCTGTGAACAACGTGACGTAGGAGGTCATTCGCCCCAGTGGAGTTCCCCTCCGGAGATGCTCCGGGGACCCCCAGTATCGGAGGTTGCCCCCCACTGAGGGGGGGATGGTCACCAGACGTCGTTTGTGCCTCTTGGGATCCAAACAAAGGTCGGTAAACCACCTCTGCAGGTGGCGCCTATGCAGCAGCCCCAGCGTCACCACAACGTGAGCAGCCGCCATGAGACCCAGAGTCTGCATGATGGTCAAAGCCGTCACCGTTGCCCCCTGTCGCAGTCTGCAAACTGCCCGAAGCAGGGATGCCTGTCTGCTTTCTGTCAGGGTGACACGTAGTCTGCCTGCATCGAGCACCACCCCCAGATATTCTACCTGCTGGTGAGGTATGGGGAGCTCTTCTTCCAATTGACCGCAAAACCCAACTTGGTTAGGTGTAGGATCAATTGGGCTGTATGAAACATTGCCCATTCCCTGGACCTGGCCATGACTATGAGGTCGTCCAGATAAAAGAAAACCCTCATGCCATGGTCGCGCAGCGGCTGCAGCGCTGTGGCCACACATTTGCTGAACGTGCGTGGGGACAGGGAGTAGCCAAACGGGAGTCTGCTGTACTCGTAGGCTATCCTCTGGAAGGCAAAACGCAAATACTTTCTGTGCTCTAGAGCAATTTCGACATGAAAGTAAGCGTCCTTCAGGTCGATGGTTGTGAACCAATCGCCCGGCTGCACAAGGCCCAATAACTGTTTTACAGTTAACATATGGAAATGTTTTGCAGGCAATGTGCTGATTCAGGCTGCGGAGATCTAGAATGGGTCTGAATTCTCCCGTCTTCTTGGGAACCAGGAAGTACGTGGAATAAAGACCCTGTTCTCTGTGCCGAGGGTGCACAACAGATACCGCCTGTTTTTGCACCAGGGCCTGAATCTCTGCCGAGAGGAAACCTATCCCCTCCCGGGAAGATAGCTTCGCCTCCCTTATGCCTTTGAATGGAGGAGGGACACTGCAAAACTGGAGTGAGTAACCCCGTTTCATTGTCCTGTCCATCCACTTTGTTAATACACAGCTGAGTTTCCATTCCCCATAACACTGCGTTAGGGGACAGGCCATCAGCTGTGGAGCCACAGAATGGCTCCACACAGCTGGAGCCATTCCATCCTCTCGATCCTTCCTGGACAGCGCGGTGAGTCCCAACCACACGTGACGTGACGCCACTGTGGCCAGGGACATCACACGTCCAGCTGCGGCGGCCACACCGTGGATAAGATTGTTCATCTGACCAATGCAGCGGTCCGAATAATCGCTCCTGTCCTGAGGCGGGAGGGCGGGGGTGTCCGGCTGAGGGGTGATCAGCGAGACACCCAACACACCGAGATTATTAGCCGCAGCCGCCATCTGCGTTCCGAGCCGGAATATTTTATCAAAATATTCCAGGATATCTCGGTCCCGAGACAGCGGGGGAAGAGGTTTTTTCCCCTCCGCCCAACCGGCTGCCTGAGGAAGCAGATGGGCCGCCAGGCTCTCATCAAGGGGGGGGCACGCCGGGACACTCTGTGTCCGAGCGGCCCTGCACCCTTAGGATTCCGAACATACCTGCCACTGGAGCCTTCATTCTAAGTGGCTGCCGCCACGTTGCCTCCACACACTGCCAGATATCTGGCAACGGGGGCGAAACTAAGGCCGGCTGCGCCGGACGCACTGGGCCGTAGAACCCCTGATGAAGGCGGCTTATCGGCCACGGTGGCAGTGGCGGGGGGAGCGGTAGGCCTACACGCTCTGCCGCCATGGTCATCACCGCAGGGAAGTCCTGACGTGCAGGCCTGTGTGGTGGACCCTCCTGGACGCCGGAACCGGAATCACCACACGACGAGGCGTCCTCGTCGTCTTCCTCCTCGGCGAACGGGGCCGCCCAACCCGCCGGAATGACGAACACGAATGGCACCTCTCTCGCGACATCCTGTTCCTCCATTTCCACCACCTCCGGATATAATATGCCTGAAAATTCTCCAGACGATGCCGCTGGCTGAGCCGTGGGAGCATGCGGCAGGCATTGCAGGCCGGAGACTGGGTCAGGCCGTCCGCTGCGCGGTCAGGCCCCAGACACTCAAAGCAGAGGCTAACCCGCGATTAAACCAGGGCACGAAGGACAGGGCCGGGGCTCAAGGAGTGGTGAGTCCATCTTCGATATAATACTTTCTTTCTTTCTTTTCTTTGTTAGTTGTTATCCTGCTCGCTGAAGAGAAAAGGATGGCGGTCAGGAGGCGAGGCCGCCTTTTATACGGTGTGCTTGCACGCGCATTCAGGTAGGCCCGCCCCGGGGGCCGGCTACGTTTATAGAAATCTTAGTAGGTGAATGCTTGCATGGTATGGTTGAGAGGTAGTACCCATAGAGTCCAGTAGAGGGTGGAGCCTGTGTGATATATAACATCAATTCTCAAAAACATTTGTTAACTTAATTTGAAATATTCTTGCTTTGTAGATACGTTTTCAGTTTCCTGCTTTGTCAGTTTTTAATATACAGTAAACAACAACATTTTATTCAGTAAATAACATATTAGTCTGCAAATAATCAGTAGATTTACTCTTAAGACAAAATGTATGTTATTCATTAAAATACATCATATTATTAATTAATCAATATTGTTTCTGTTATGTCCAATTCAGATGTATGTCTTACCAAAGAAATGCATCACACTGCCCGCTGTAAAGACAAAAAACAATGACAAATATTAACATACAGTTATTTACTTAATTCTTTTTTGGATGTTAACAAATGAGCTTGCATTTCTGAAAAATTGTCATGTCAGGATCCTCTTATCAAAACCATTATAAATCCCTTAAATCATCTCTTCTGTTGCAATACACTAGTATAAACAATTAATGGTAATATTAAATTACCTGAATAACAAACAAATGTACCAACCTTTACGTTAATCAAATAAATAAATGATGGTGGATTATTTTTACAGAAAATGTATGTCCAGTTCTTTAAATTATATCTATCAATGGCATGCAAGCGCTACCCACAACCTGCCAATAAGGAATCCTTATCAAATCTAATAACTGTATTTATACATAGTGAATACACCACCTTTTATCAAATCATGCTGTTTAGACTGACTAGATATAATAAATTGCTCTGAGAACGAAGTCTTGACACTGGATTTTGCATCCTGTTTGCTTTATTCACATTGGGTTGCTTACAAGAACCTATATTTGGATGTCTTGGGGCTTCTCCTTCCTTGGGTTTATGGAGCACTTCGGTGTCCCCTCCCTCAGGCTTGGTGACCACCATGGATGTGAGTGGAGTTACAAAGCTGTACTTCAGCGACAGCTCCAAGGCCTCTCTCTTCACGTTCTCCTTCTCAGCTCCAGATAACAGCAGCCTGTGTCACAAATTGTGTTTACACATGTGAGTTGGCATGAGTATGATTATTGTAACTTTATGTTTTGCTAATGTTGTTGTTTTTTGGCTTCACCTACAAGTTATGTTCCTACATACATTTTACCCCAGTTACTTTTAAAGGTCCCATGTCATACTTTTCTGGTTATTACCCGTCCCCTTGTGTGTTATGAAGGTTTTTATGCATGTAAACGGTCTGCAGAGTCAAAAACCCTCAAATGCGGCTTTCACACCAGCGCTTTTCCCTTTCTAGCTCCTAGCGAGAGCTTTTCTGGTTCAGCTCCGGTTTCCCTTTTCAGCTCCCGCTCTGTTCACACCGCCCAGAGCTGCCGCTACTGCGTCATGACGTCACAGTTTACGTCGCTGATTTTCTCCCACAACAACAACGGGCCGGGGACTGCGTCGGGTCGATGATCGTGTTGCTTTTAATCATACGAAGCCAGATTAAATTAAATAACGACTTCTCCAACCTTATACTTTTCTCCAGAGTGCCGTGGTTCATTGTTTATTAATGTGTTTCCGCGGCATTTACCGACCGCTGCAGTGCTGGCTGCTCTTCCACGGGAGTTTATTCTCCCGTTAGCTCCGGGTTAGCTCACACGGCTCTACTGTATTCACTGTCTGACTGTCACACAAGCAGCTGATACATATCCCCAGTTCCCCTTAAGTGAATGTGTGTCAGTCTGAATTGACGCTGTTTGGCATCACAACGCTGTTATGAAAGTTTCTCTGGTATAACATGGGTGATGTTAGCATAGCAACCGAAGCTAAACTGACTACTTGCTAAGCCGTTTTCTACAGGCACATTTTACCGGCGTATTTTTCATTATGATTCTACTTGTGATAGTCGGACATGACAACCTGTACAGCCCATGTATTAATTCCATCCGATAGCTGCTATAATAACAAACAAAACGTCTGCCTGCTCTCCACAATGATCAATAACAGTGAACGGATGGTCAAAGTAAGGTTTCCTGCACGCCTCGACGTAAGAGAGACGTAAGCGACGCCGCGTCATAGCTCCGAAGCTCTTGCCTCTGGACCGACAATTTTTTGGAGCTGGAAGTGAACCGCATTCCGGAGCTATGACGCGCCGCCGCTGCGGTGTGAACAGGAAAACCGGCGCTTTTCCAGCTCCAGCTCCGAGCAGGAGCTGGAAAAGCGCCGGTGTGAAAGGGGCAAAAGTGCACCCTGTAGGGACTAAACTCTAACACAGAAAAGACCTCCCCAAAACGCCTCGTTGGAGATTTCTCATTTTCCAATGTTTTCTTCCTGGGTATCGTGACGTAGGGATACCCAGTAGCCACGCCCAGAGCTATGGCCATACCCTCTGCCAGCCGAACATATATACTGTTGGAAGCTCAGGTTCAGTTCAAAACGGTATCCAGTCATGCCAACGAGGGTCTGTTTCCTGTCTTGTGAGGGGAAATCTGCAATGTATGCCTTACCGAGGGCAGAACCACGACAAAGTCAGTGGTTGACATTTCGTGTTAACACTGTTCCTTCAGATGTTCGAGCCGGTATTGTACTTTGTGTGCGGCATTTCACGGACCAAAGCTTTGCAAACATTGCAGCGATTCATGCCGGATATGCACAGCGTAGGACACTGAAGGACGATGCTGTTCCTACTTTGTTTGGACCAGCGGGATATTCGGGTACACAACCTGTAAGTATTCATTGTTGTTTGTGTATTTATGATGTTTAAAACAAACAAGGTAAGCTAAGCCATTGACACAGTGCTAACTGGGCTAACTAAGTTGCTAGCGTTTCCATACATCAACTCCAATGTCAGCAGATGGCTTACATGTACATGTATCTCATAGCAGGAGAATGTCTGCATTCACACACGAAATACTCATAGTATACTCCGGGTGATTTACCGTACGGTCAGTCGCGAAACTTAATGACATTATAGTTGGCGTTTGTTAGAAATTAAAATCAATGTTAAACAGCATAATTCAGTCTAAAACATATCGTCAGTTTAAAGCTGTTTTATTGTGGAAAAGCCCGGAAGTTCTCAGGAAATCAATGCCAAGCTTTTATTCTGAAAAATCCTTTATCCGGTTAGCTTGTGACTAATGTTGCGTTTTCTGAATGTAAAGTGAAAATGACTTGGAGTGTTACACACAAACGTACGGACTTTAACACTACATCGATAGACGTTAAGATATTATTACTGCTGAATATTAAATGAAGGTCTAGTTGATCGTAGTGTTTACAGATACGTGAGAAGCTATGACGTCAGAGGGAATTTCCGTAAAATAAGAACTGTGCCGGAGCGGAACCACTAGGACTTCTAAACTAAGTATTACAGCTGTTTATAAGGTATTAAATAGAAAGTCATGACAGAGATAATGAGGAGAAAATGCTTAAGGAAGTAGGCAGAGAATATCAATGTCGAAATCATCTGTGCTCTCGCGATATCGAACCGGCAAATGAGTAGGGGGCCACCCACTATTTGCACAGCGGGGGACAACGAGACGTGGATAAAAAGGCAGGACGAAAGATAACTCACTCTCTTCCCTTCGCTGCAGCCTCCCTCAAGACAACACCGGCTTTGTCTCTCCATTCACCATGCTTGTTCTTTAACCACGTTACTTAATTAAACTACCCATTTGAACCTTTTCAGAGACTCCATTAGTCTCGTTATTTTAAGTTTCTTTCCTGGGAGCGAGAAGATCACAAATTATCAACATTTGGCTGACCCAGACGTGTGATATCAACACTGGGAGAGAAATCGCTAGTTTCGACGGAGATTCCGCCAACCAAAAGACACACAAAGGGCCCATATGCGAACGGTAAGGAGAAGCCAGTTATATCAAATTCTCCAATAGCTTATATAGAACCATTTAGATTTGTGTGTTTTGCGGCGAGCAGGACATCCTGAGAACAGCTGTTAATTTAATGTTAAATATAAATTTAAACCAAACCACGTGGCGTTGTTTTAGAGCAAGCAGGGTGAGTCTATTTTCCTTTCTTTGATTCATTAACCAACTGCATGTTTTTTAAACCAACTGCATGATTATAATGTGTGTGTTTTCCAAGCCGGATATATTAATGTGCTTTTAAGCCGGTATTTATATAATCTTTTAAAAAAAAAAATAATAATAATAAAAAAAATAAATAAAATAAAATTAATAAAAAATAAATAAACCAATCCCAGATATTGAAGTTAAGTTCGGATGACATAGGATATTTGTTATCAGGAGCGAAGGTACTATTCAGTAGATTAGTGATTCATCTTTGATACATTTAAGGACTATATCCAACTACTTATTATATTGTGTTTGACGACTTATAGATGGACTCTTGTCGTTTTGTATATTCTCAAGACAGATGGTATCTTCTTGACAGAGAAATAGATGGTATCTTTTCTCGTTATTAGCAAGTTAAAGATGGAATCTTCTTGTTAAAGAGAGTTGATGGCATCGTCTCGTTTTTAGTCTCAAGATCAGATGGAATCGTCTCTTGTTTAATTGGTGATAAGAGTCTGTGGAAGTCTGAAGTATACTCTTTAATCATTGCGTGTGCATTACGGAAAGAAATGCGGCATTCGTGCGTTAGATAGACGATATTCTCCTAATAGTGTTTGACTGGCTTCCCATTTGGTCGCATAATAGCGTGAGAGTTGCTCAGACGACCATAGGCTAAATAGTTTTGATGGTCTCTAACTATTTTGTATTAACTTGTTTAAATTGTATAGCATATTGAGAGCGTCGTGCTGTTATACTGCTCTGAAGTTTAGCCTGGAATGAGGTCTCCTTGTTGAGATCAACACCTCCAGGATTTCAACGCATCAGAGACAGCCATTCTTCTTGCAAAAAACTCTTTGTTCTGCAGGTCAGCATTTGAAATCAGTTGCCATCTTGTTTTGACCTCATGTTGACAAACAATGACATGGCAGTCTGGCAGTCGCCATTCTGTGAAATGTAAATTCAGAGGACCAGTTGTTGTCTTTTTGAAATCCATTCAGTTTCACTCACATGAGGCTAATTCAATATTCATGACCTCCATAGTGTGTAGAAAAAAATCATTCTTCTTGAGTCAAAGTTGGAATTAGATATTCCATTTTGCTGAATCAGGTTATCTATACCGTTGGAGTTTGGTTTTTGAAGAAAAAGATTATTGTATTTTCTAAAAAGCTCAAATCTGATTTTTGAAATATTAGTCCTTGCAAAGGAGTTTTACCTGCTTATGCTTATACTGTGCAATGTGGTGTGGCTGGGATATGCTTTGTTGATTAATCCTAAAAATTGTGTGTGCTGATGGCTGTTTTTATGCTTTGTCCATTAATCCTAAACATTGTGATTGCAAGTGTATTCGCTGGTTTAAGTTTGACTGTTTAATCATAAAGTCAATTTCTTTCCCATATCAAAGGTAGTTATTAAGAAATAAGCTTCTTGTTAAAAAGAAGTCCGTTTTTAGAAGAGCTAAAAAAGGGTGGAAAAAAGCTGAAAAATTACAACAGCACACTCTGCTGGTTGTACAGAATTGTTGCACAAGAAATAGGGGTAAAAGGACAAACGTATAAATACAACACCAATTGATTATAATTATGCTAAGGTTTACTTTCAAGTATTATAGATGAACACGTACTTCATCACACATAGATAGAATCACAGGTGGTTCCTGATATTAAGATAAGAAACCTTACACAAGTCTTTCAACCTAGACTGTAGAATACCTAAACACCACACAATTGAAGTAAAAACATAGTTTATGACTTAGCATAATTTCATGCACTTTGGAATACACTATACACAGTAAAGCTAGATTTTTACGAGATTTCTATTTGCATATTTCAAAGCCAAGCCACTGTACAAGGTTTAAAAAAAAAAATTAAAAAAATTAAAAAAATTAAAAAAAAATAAAAATTAAAAACTTTTTTGCATATTTTTATTTTTACTTTATTAATCTTTAAAAAAAAAAAAAAAAAAAAAAAACCCAGGTATTGAAGTTAAGTTCGGATGACATAGGATATTT